TCTATCTATCGATCGATAGAGATAATTAACACAGTGAAGACTAATTAATTTACGCAATGTATGTAGCATTTCTTATTTATTGTAGTTTTTTGTCCTATTGCTTGCAATTAGTTTCTTTTCCTTATTTCATCAGTGACTGTTTATTTATCTTCAGTGAGCTTGAGGATTTTTTTTTCTCTTTTTAGGCTTGTATTAGTTTGATATTGACATTAGTGATAAGGATTATGAAAATTCTATAGTATCAAAGATTTTAATATCATAAAAACCTTTTTAAAAGAAGAAGAAGAAAAAACTACATCGTTGATATGTATCGTTATCGTGATATAAAAATGAGTCATATCGTGATATACGATTTTGGTCATATCGCCCACCCCTAAAATATATCAGAAAATAGTTATTTTAAATTGTAATAATATTTCACAATATTACTGTATTACTGATCAAATAAATGTAGCCTTGGTGAACATATGTTTTTTTTTTTTTTAAGTCTCCAAACCTTTGAATGGTAGTGAACATACGGACTCAAGTCATGAACTGTACAGAGTTACGCAACCTCTGTTGTTAGTAAACTGATCATCATTATTATTACTCAACATAAATAAAAAAAATAAAATAAAGTGTCTATCTGATGACACTCACTGCTGCCACTGATGAGCAGCGCAAAAAATCGCGCGAATATGAACGTGGTTTAGCGCAGCTCGTCAGTGAACAACGGCTCTGTGTAGTTAATGCTGCTCAATGTGAAAGGTGATGGAGATTTACCGCTGATTACAGAACCGGCTTTACTGATAAGATGCGCGTTAAATATCGCATGCGATTAATCGTGCAGCCCTACTGCCAATGAAAAATTCTTCTGAACATTCATTAATCTTAGGTATTCCAATATTTAATAACACGTTGTTAAAATCGAAAGTTGCAACTGTGTTATTTAATGAGCTAACATGAACTAAGACTTAATAACTTCTGTAGCAAATGTAGCTATTGCTCATTGTGAATGTTAATGCATTAACTAAGGTTAACTAATGAGGTCTTATTGTAAAGTGATACCTATTGGTCTTTATAGTTCTTTTGCACTTTAATCTGTGTAAAACTTTTAACTTTATACATTTTTCTGTTTTGCTTTATTGCATTTAAATGTTCAGTTATTTTTGTTATAAGAAAAAAGTTATTAAACCTGTTATACTGTATTATGACAGCACTTTTTTTAAAACTAAATTTCAATACCGTGATAATACCGTATACCGTGATAAAAGCATTAGCAATTAATAGCAACATGAAAATTTGATACCGGCATATCCCTAGTCCTAACGAGCCTTAGAAACGGTTTCTTTTTCCGCGACATTGCGGCTGGAACAACAACATACAAACTATATAACAGTGATATGCAGGTACTGATTATGTGTGCTATTCAATGTTAACGTGTCTAATGTGAGTTTGAATATCATTTTGTGTGACCGTTATAGCCATACTGAAAGCAACAATAGATAGTTTACCTCAGATCTTGAAAATAAATTAAAGCAAAGATGTAGCCTACGTTAAAACTGTGAACTCACTGCGAACCAACGAGTGTATTCCATGACAAAGATGGTATCAGTCAGATGGTATGTACTCAGTATGTACATTTAATGATGTTAAAAAGTTTAAATATTTATGAATTAGATTATAAACTTATCCATTTCGTTGCGAGTGCAGTGCGCTTCCACAGAGAGCCCGCCCACACATGCTTCTGATTGGCTGTGATATTTGATTGATTCTGTCACATTGCATCTGGTGTGGACACCCAAATTGCTTGTCGCTGGAATCTTGTCGCGTGTAGTTAGGACACGGTGTTAGGCAAGGAGTATCTCATTTGACCTTTGCCTGTGTCAAATCCAATAACCTTTACATAAGCAGCAGGCGGCCCAATCAATCTACTGTTGCACTTTAGCCGGACTCACCAGTAGGCGTAGTAGGCCACTGCCATGACCACTAACGCCCCACAGATCCCTGTGAAGATCATCACAGCCCCCTGGTTCAGCATCTTCGCTTCTGGTGATGGGCCTTCAAAGCAGAACAATTATGAAATTAGCCTCCTCTGGTTTCGTTCAAAAATGGACAGGCGGTTCTGTTCTTGACAAGCTTGGAGACAGATGAAATTTAAAGAAAGTGCTCCTGAAAATACTTGGCAAAATAAGCCTTTTAAAAAGTTGAACGAGGCACCAGGTCTCGCTTTGGCTACAGCGACATGCTAATGCTAATCCCACAGAAGGAGAGCACTTTTATGATGATGTAAGCAGAAACAAAACTAGATCCCATAAAGGCGGCGGCACTCAAAACCAGTGGACGTAAAAAAGGACAGTCTTCCAATGCTGAACTCCAACTGGATGCTGTTACCAACTGCTAACCCAAGTTCCAAGCACAGTTCGAGTTAGCGAATCCTTAGCAAGATGCAGCAGTCCAACAGCACAATGTGGACGTAGCGGCAACCTTCCGTTAAGCCAGAGAGAGCAGTTCTCAGCATCCTGTGTTCCCTCCTCTTCTCTAATCTCCTCTGGATTAGATTACCAATGATTAGCACTCTGGAGCAGCACCCTGGATAAGTCACATCGAATTTACATCAACTTCAAGCGATTTAGCTAAGTGGGACGGGACAGTGGTGACTTCCTTTAGCCACCAGGAGGAGCCTTTAGGGTCAAGCCCACTCTCTAGCATTTAAATGATCTTGTACAAGGAGGCATGATATGTTTCGGTAGTGATTCTGGAGACTTGTGGGTGCTGTAGCATGCTTGACAAGCTTCTACATGGCCTTGCTGTAGATCTGTGAACTTGTTCTTGGCATTCAAGGTCGACAAGGCCCTAAATCCAGTTTAGATGAGGTGGTGACAGAGAAGATGAGGCAGGTTGTGGCCCAAAGCCATGAATGCACAACTGCATTGCTGGCATAAACGGAGAACACAATGTGCCACAGGCCTACGTCACACAACAGCGCTTCCTTTTTTATTTGTTCTGCTTCTGTTGCTCACTTCATCTCATTATTTCTTCTAGCTTCTTTTCATCTTTCATCATTCGTTTGTCATAAATTTGTGTGATGTGAGACTTTTTGTTGCTGTACTGTATCAATGGGAAAACCCTTGCAGAGAGTCCATGTATTCTTGAATGTGCAATGTCCTGTGTACAGCTGTGTTAATGTGCCTTCTTCAACACTTTGTAAAGCCATCTCCTGATAAGGTGTGTAGCATAAAACCTATACATTATGAGCCATATGAGACCAAAGCAGCTTACTGGACTGCAGCTGAGGTCAATGTCTAAATCTATAATCTAATCAGTATCTTACACATACAAACAAACAAACACCGTTTAAACAAACTAAGATATTATCGTTACAAATTTCATCCATCAAAAATGTTCCTTCATCTCTGCATTTCCCCAAACTTTAAGATAAATATTCTTCTGTACATACATTTATATCCTTTGAACAGCACTTTTTTTCTTTGCAAGAGCTACCCTTTGATACTGACTCTAATAAATACATCATGGAAAATGTCAGTTATCTTTGCTACTGTGTCTCAGAAAATTCTACACACTTCAAGTCTCATAAAAAATGCATACAAAAGATGAACATTAACAACAGACAGGGCTTGTGCTAGCTTTGACAGACTGAATGAACATCATTACAAGGGACTCAGTGGTCAATAATTCTCAGTGGGCCAGTGCACAGTGTGTTTTCAGTCCTAGTACACCAGGGGTCTCACACATAGGCTAAACCTTGTACAAGTACAAAAACATATGCCAAATAGCACCCACACATTGGCATTTATAAACAGACAAACAAACCGGTTACCTGACCATGCATATGCTCACTTTGGCAACCAATTTTCCAGCTACAGAGCCTAACTACTGAACTGAAATGAATGCTGCAAAAAGGGCTTTCAATGAATTCCAAATCCATGCTAGAAGGTGACATTTAATTTCTAGATAAGTTTCCATCCTACCACCAAAATACAGTGTCTGCATTCTTTGGGAAGTCATCCTTTGATTGGCTTAAAAAGTGTTAAAAAAAATAAATAAAAAAAAACCTGTGCACTTAACATCTGAATATTAATTAATGAATTACAAATCCCATAATGCACTGTGAACAACAATAGTCAGTCGTGATGATAAACTAGATAAAAAAAAAAAAAAGTTAATCACATGGATGGACTTGCACCTTCTACAAAAGCATACATTCAACAGCCTTGTAGCATCTGGACCAATCAGACACACAATTATTTGTTATACTTAATAGGGCTGTGCGATATGACGATATGTATCGGATGGATGAAATAAAAAGTCTATCGTTTCATATTATGCTCTATCGTTTATTTCATGGTGTCGCAAAATACATTGTTTACGGTAATACTTTTTCATCATTTGGATGACTGCGATCTTTACACGCCACCACGGGGCGTGAAGGGGAGACAGAACTAGGTGGAGAACGAGGACAAAGGACAAAACGAGGAGCTCGTTCCTAAACGAGGGACTACATCTGTAGCATGGACACGTGTTACTGCAGTTTAACGATTACATAAACACACTTGTATGCATCAGAATCCCCGTCTTTGCAAGTATCCTCATAAACACAGTGATTTAGGTCTTAGGAGATAGTAAACAGTTGAAAAAGAAAACGCATATGTAACAGTATATTGGATCCGGACTTCGGTTTTAAAGGGGACGCTGTCCAATGTTTGTCCTGTCTGCCATTCATATTAATCAAACAACAGTGAGATAAAATCTCCCACTGCTCTTGACTAAATTATTTTTGTAACTTTAATAAGAAGAAATTAAAAAATAATAATGATGTACTGTGTGTGTGTATAATATTGACATTAGTGATAAGGATTATGAAAATTCTATAGTATCAAAGATTTTAATATCATAAAAACCTTTTTAAAAGAAGAAGAAGAAAAAACTACATCGTTGATATGTATCGTTATCGTGATATAAAAATGAGTCATATCGTGATATACGATTTTGGTCATATCGCCCACCCCTAAAATATATCAGAAAATAGTTATTTTAAATTGTAATAATATTTCACAATATTACTGTATTACTGATCAAATAAATGTAGCCTTGGTGAACATATGTTTTTTTTTTTTTTAAGTCTCCAAACCTTTGAATGGTAGTGAACATACGGACTCAAGTCATGAACTGTACAGAGTTACGCAACCTCTGTTGTTAGTAAACTGATCATCATTATTATTACTCAACATAAATAAAAAAAATAAAATAAAGTGTCTATCTGATGACACTCACTGCTGCTGGAGGAGTCAGAGCTCTGTGAGCCTCTCTCACGGGGGTCCTTATCTGGGGCAATCTGGCGCGTGATGATGACATCAATAAAGTTTGCAGCAGTTATGGTGGTCTTCCCATGTGTGCGTAGCTCCTCCTCCATGCGTGACTTGGTGGGTGGGGCTTTCTCTTTGCTCCCTGCAGCTCCTCCACCCTCTGCATACACAGGATGGGAAGGTTTCCCACTAGGAAGTGACACGTCCCCATATGGTGACTGCACGGAACGGCGCTCCACCTCTTGCGACTCCTGTGCTGCCCGTCGTGATGTCATCATGTCATATTCTAGTATAATTCGAATTTTGATCATATTTAAGTACAAAATTCGAATTTAGTTTTTCAGCCATTTTGACAGCCCTAGTTAACAGAAGGCCAACTGTACTCGCTTGATGTTTGAGAACCAGTGAGGTATTATGTTTCGAGCAAGTTAAAAATATGTTCATTTGTTCATTTTCACAAATGTTTTTTTTTGGAACAATTTAAAGATGAGTGAAAGATGACATTTTTTTGGACAACATTTTTGGGTGAAATATCCCTTTAAAAACCTCAAAAAATAAATAAATAAATTATAAATAGATAAATAGATAAATAAATAAAATACATAAAATAAAGATAAATAAAAATATAAAATAAATGCTTTATAAGTTTATAATACAGTAAGTTAATATAAAGTTAATATAATACAAATAAAGTTAATGTGTGCACGTAATTATTAATAATAATAAAACTAATAAATTATTATTAGATTGTGGTCATAAATAGTGCATTGCTCACATGAGTGGTGTAATGACACTCTTGGAGTTGGTGCCCTGGAAGATGCTCGGCCGCTGTTGGAGGACGCCCTCCTGTGATCTCACAGAGGGTGAAGTGGAACGCAGAAAACTACGGCTGCCTGGTCGGCCAGGTTGCTCAGAACCTGCAACATATCACGGAACGGCGCTCCGCCTCTTGCGACTCCTGTGCTGCCCGTCGTGATGTCATCATGTCATCATCCCGGCAGCTACTGTTATTATGCTTGCCCTCCTTGACTTTTGCAACATCCATCTGCGGGGCAGAGGCAGCAGCGTCCACCAGGGCGGCGAGGGCATCAGCTGCATTGCTGTATCGGCTGGCTTGAGCTGCAGCTGCTTGTGAGGGCATTTGCCTGAACAACCGAAACAGGAAGAAGTTTAATAGAGCAAAACTAATTTAAAAATCCATAAATTAAAAGGGATAGTTGACCCAAAAATGAAAACTGTCATCAATTACTCACATTCATGTTGTTCAAAACACGTAAGAATTTTGTGCATCTTTGGAACACAAACGAAGATGTCTCCTGTGATCTCACAGAGGGGGAAGTGGAACGCAGAAAACTACGGCTGCCTGGTCGGCCAGGTTGCTCAGAAACTGCAAAATAAACAGCGACAAATCCTAAGAATACTGTCAGAATACATCAGTTTGTTATAGACTGAGAAGAAAGGACCATTATTGGTGACATAATTTCCTTCGGAGTAGTCTTACCTCCACGCATATATTCTACCGCTGCGCGTTCCCGTTCTCTCTGATCTCTTTCTCGCTCCCGCTCTC